ATCACAATACAAAGCCTAGTTGCGTTTGAATTCTGTTACCTTTGATACAGGCCTTCAAATGAAGGAGAAAGGCAGGCCGCTGGCACGCAGGGAACACGCGTCGAAATGATTAATAGTTTCTTGTTGCGTCCTTTCAGGGAATCGGACTTTTTTGTGGTTTTGAGTTTGTTCTTGCTTCCAGGTTAACATGCATGCGGAAACCTCGCTGAATTCGGTAAGCGATTCCAAGATAACAGTTATTAGAAAAATATGAACACGAAAGATCCCTGTTTGCAAGATTTTTGCATTGTGACCAGGTTTTTGTCCTCCTGAAACGTCCGAAGTAATCTACTCAAGTGGTTTTTGACTTTTTTTGTTTGTTAACTGCTGTTTTTGGCCGCAGTTCGCCTTGCGAATGTTTCACAAGAATGCTGGGTTGTGAACAAAACTTTCGCCCCAGGCGGGACTAGAACCCGCACCTCTCGCTTTCCGGGCAAGTGCGAAAAAAACAAGTCAAAATCATTGCTAAAGCTTTCAGCCTCGCGGTCATTGCCGATATCGGCTAACCGGCTCAACACGTTATACGTGTGAGTGCTGACAAGCTATGGTACGTATACCATGAAAAGCTGAGTTGGAATGAAATGGTGCCCCGGTAGCGTAACTGGTAGCGCACTTGCCCGGAAAGCGAGAGGTGCGGGTTCTAGTCCCGCCTGGGGCGAAAGTTTTGTTCACAACCCAGCATTCTTGTGAAACTACTCAGTGGCTTCTTGTCCATGACTGACATCGAATCTTAAGACTGTCCAAATGATCTTTTATATCCTTTTTCTAATTTGTGGGTTTGAAAGCCGTTAAGGAGCAAAACGAATTTTTGCATTTCATATTTGCCCTGGTGGTAACTTTAGCCTTCGCACCTCCTCCTCTTCCATCTAAAATGCATTCTAACTTGTTGAATTTTCCAACCGTTACCCACAAGAGCTTCCTCGGTACGCTGAACTTCGGGTACCCGACAGGAGGCCCATCGCGCGGCAAGAAGGCAGAGTCAGCGGACGAGTCGCAGCGCGTGCTGTAGGACGTACAATGGTACATTCTATTTAACTTGACGCGAAATCCTACAGTACGCGCTGCGACTCGTCCGCTGACTTTGCCTTCTTGCCGCGCGACGGGCCTCCTGTCGGGTACCCTTTAACTTCTGCTTGTTGTAGCGTGCCAGAGCCCCTTACCGGTATTTGAGGATTGGCGTATGTGGGCCTACGTGATTTGGTTGTTTCACTAATTTTGAGAACTGTGTGATGTTTGGTTTTACTAGCAAGAAGCATTCTCTTCTATCATATCATGCCCGAAAGGAAAGGGAATGTGAAGAGTTCGGAAAAAATGGGTTTGACCATGCACTCGCGACCACAATTTTGGCCCCCCACCCTGTACTTTCGCTCTACTTCTGTCTGCAGAGGTGAGTACTGCAAGCGAATTGTAAGCAAAAGAGGAGCCTCACATGCCATTGTGACTGTGTAAACAGTGAAAAACCGCTGATAAACAAGGTGTTTTGCACCTTCCAGAACCGTCGTTGCGCTGAATCACCGCCATCGATTGTCCGCCGTGCAGGCAAGCACCTCCCATCAACCGGACTATATCGAAACAGAGATCGCGACCATTGTCAGCCGTACTTAAGTGGCGTTCAACCCATACACTCTGTTATTATGGCTGATAAGAAGTCTGCTCCTGCTCCTGCTCCTACCTCTACCCCATCTGAGGAGAAGACCGCCTCATTCAAGCTCCATCTGGACGGAGCTTCGATTAGTGTCAAGTACAAGGACAAAGACGATCTATTCGAGTCACTGAGGAAGAAATTCGATGAACTGAATATTCCGATTACAAGCGTCTACGCGGCTGATCGCGGTCATGAGCCACTACAACTCAAGGATGCCGACGCAGTAGCGGAAGCCATAAGTGACGACAGGGTACATGGAAAAACACCTAAGCTGTTTGCTCGCGGCCCAAAAGACGACCAACATCCCAGCGAAGGTGAGGCTTCAAAGCAACATCACCACTCTAAACATCATCCACACGGCCGATGCTCACACAGACGTCGCTCGACGTCAAGTGAGAGCTCCAAAAGCCGTGGACATTCTCCTGGACACTATCCTTACTTTGGAGGCCACGGCCATTCCCGCGGTCACCCACACAGACCTCCTCCTCCTTTTCCTCCGCATTTTGGCTCACTTTTTGGTCCATTTGGTCACCATTCCATGGGTTCGGGGGCTCAGCACTGTCCCTTCATCGCTCACGTACATCAGGGTTTTGGCTCCGGCGGTTGTCCTGCTCTCGGCTCGAAGACTCACTGTCCATTTCTAGATTCAGTGGCTCAGTGCCCAGCTTTCAAACATGGTGATCATTCGAAGGGTCATTGCCCAGCTTTTGCCTCAAAGGGACATTGTCCTGCTTTCGGCCGTGGTGGTCATGGTTTTGGTCACGGCGATAGTGGTTCCCCTTGCTGCTGAATGAGCAACATTCATTTTTCTTTTGTTTACAAGTGTTTATGTAATTAGCCTGTTTCTATTTCACGTTCACAATTGTATGGTACTTTTTTATCACTCACTTATCACTATGTCATCTTCATTTCTAACCAATAAACATCGTTATCAGCTTTGTACTGCTTGTTGAGGAGGAATGGGTTCTAAACCCAATATTTATGTACTGCTGTTTTCTGCACATAATTCACGATGGCGTAATGGCGTGGAAAACTGGTTATTCTGGTGCTCTATCAATAGGCAATAGACATTCCACATAGCTGAAGCGAATAACATTGAAGTTCAAATTAAAAGAGGGTGAGGCCTTGCAAAAAGGCCTAGAACAAAAATGTACGACATAAATAAAACTAATGGGGTAAGGCTGTCTAAGCGAAGAACGTAAAGAGAGGCTACGGGTATGTCGAAATCTACAGTTTGCAAGAACCTTGGCATGATATATGGCTGATATCTATCTGAAAAAGGCAACCCGCCGAAACGTAAGCCAATAAAGTCTGCTTAACAACCTCGTGGAGAGCTTACAGAAAATATCAGCTACGGGTGAGCTTTTTAACACATTGCGTACCAAGTGCGCCACATGGTGACGCACGATTTCACAGGAAAGGCATAGTTTTACCTGATTTTTTGGCATTTTTCAATGTTCCAGAAGTGTTTGTACGCATTTTCAGAGTCAAAAAAAACAATAGGTGTCATCACTAATAAAACTGCTTTGAAAAACGTAAAAAAAAATTCGGGAATACTCCTACGACGGGCGGTTGGCACTCTTGTTGATTGATTACTCGATTATTACAGGGTTTTCTAGCACAGTAGCATTCTTAATATGATATAGGTGCTTTTATAAGCTGAAATGAAACTAGCAGGAATATCTCATCAACGCTAAAAGAATGCGTACAAGGTTCTCTTCTAGCTGCATGGTGAGCAAAACTTTCAAAAAATCATCTATATTTCTGTATCAGTAATGTGGGGTAACAGTCCGCGCTTCAGCAATGCAAAAAAGCATGGCTGTGAGGTACCCTCTTAACGAGGTCCACGAGTTATACGGTCTGGACGAGCGGAAGGAAATCATGAAACAAAGAAACTGTAAGTGTTCTCGAATGTTCATCCAAGCTCCCTAAGAATCACTTGAACTTCAAAAAAATTAAGAATAGTTAGCCACTTATACGCATCCGAGCTATGGGTCAAGAGAGGGAAAATTAGGCGTCATTTTGAAAAGGGCGGTAGGCGCTATCGCATGATTTTTATTATTATTTATTGGACGTAGATAAAATTGCACGTGGAATAAAGCCTATAAAACAAGAGAAACACATCGATAGAGGTTGCAGTAACAACCATTCGTATTGCGAGACAACAATTTGTTCAACAAATGAGTAAGATACGGGGGATCTTCTAGGACTAAGGTTTGGTAGGGGCACCAACTCAGGGGGAAATGGAAATTGCACACGTGCCCCCTGAATTTTCTCTTCCGCTGCCTACAGCTAAGTTCGGTTTTAATAGAAAAAGATATTTTACGTGGTTTGGATGCGTTGCCTCTACAGTGCCCCGTATTTTGCGATAGCGTTGGGCGGCAATAGAATTCATCTGAGCCTAAGGTTTTTTTGGAAAAGGATTCTACAGTTGTCATGAAATTTCAAGGATTGCACGGAAAATTTCAGCATTTTGCTATTTCGACTGCAGCTGTTCGATTGTTGCACACATATGATAGTAATTAGTGCAGATCAATACCGTAATAGATTGTTGCAACCAATAATCATCACGAATGATAAGAAAATTGTGAGTAATGAATGAATAAGTGATTGTGATTTAGAGTGTATTCTTTGAAAATTTGAAATTTGTTTGAAAATCTCACATTGGCATTTCCACTGTTCAGCAGCGCTCTCATTGCATCTAGTCGTTCGTAGAAAGCCGCATAATGGAGTGGAGTCCATGAGTCTCGATCTGATTCCTTCGCATCGACACCCAATGCCAGTAGCGATCTGAAACTTATTCTTCATCGCATGTACTCAAAGTTGCTAGAGAAACCAAAAATTCTAAAATGCACCTAAGGCGGTGTGTTAAGACTTAGCACAGTCCAAGAGAATCGCGCGATTCGTGTCGCGTTTTGATACTTGTTCGCTGAATTTTATGCTAGCCTAACGACACTAGCCCAAAGAAGTGCCCACGTTGTTTCCAAGCTCGGCTCAAAAAAGTTGCGTGCACCATGGCCCAGTTATATGTCCAAGCGGGAATTCCGACATTGAGTGTTCGTCGCTGGCGGTCCATCGTAATCAGGTGCTGCGCCTTGCTCCTCTCCTTAGAAATTCTATCCCGCTTCGGCACATGGTGGGCGCTTATTTCCGCGCGCTGTCACTGACATTTTACTAGGGGCTGTGGTGGACAGGCTGCACTAAAACTTTATTAAACCACAGCACCTTGAGCATATATGAGTATGAATGTTCGACATTCCTGAGCCTTCAAAGGATGATTTTAATAAATTATATCGCTCTGAACGTGCGAAAAGCATTCGGGCGCAAGTGTGTGAGTGGGGGGGGGTCATCGCTATGGAAGACCCTGTTTCGGCAAGGGTAGATTAATTTTTCAAGAGAAAGAAAGTTTCAGGATGGTTAAACCATTGTGCATACACAAAAAGGGGCTGAACTGGAGTGAAAGTGAAAATGTTTGTTGCGACTTTATGCTTGGATGTCTCTAACTGGCTACAATGCCCCCTCTCAACCAGCTACACTTAGGTGACATTGTCTGAGGCATGGAAAATGCCGCGCAGGGCCGATTCCAGTGAGGCCGATGTTAGACTTTGCGAACTCGCTATTAGCGACTCGCTAGCGTCCGCAGTCGTGCTGCGGTACCAACCAATCGAGCGACTATTTGGCTGCCGACCGCGATTCGCGTCGTGCGTTAATCGTAAGTTAGAAGACGGCGAAGGAACAGTGGCGCCCGACGTGGCCGCATTTTTGCGAACGAGAAAGCAGTTTTCGGGTGGGAGTGGGAGCTGGGAGTGAAACGGAGCAGCACCCGGGGATGCCCTGCTTGAAAAAATAGAGGGCGCAATGTGGCTCGGAGGGGGGGGGGGGCAGTCGCCGCGCGCGATCTCTGCTCGTCCGCGCCCTGTAGTTGTACTAAGCCTAGGAGTGGGCAGGAACTTTGGGAAGATGAAAATTGCTATGATCCTGGAGTTCCTCCTCCCCTGCCCGAGGCTTAGTCCCGATTTAGCGAAGAGGAAATGCTTACACAGAAAAACGCAGAGATCGCGCGCGGCGACTGCCCCCCTCCCCCCCCCGAGCCCCGATAGCCACCTCAAACTGATTAGAATCCATTATGGCTGCCATGACTTATCGCCACCACCAGGCCTTTCTATCCTTCATTGGAGATAGACCGTTCTCCGCAATGGGAACGCCGATCTGCAGCGTGTTGCGGCCCATTTTTTTTGTTTTTTTAGCTTTCAATGCGACACTATCGATTTAGGCTATCGCAAAAACAGTTTGTCAAGGTTGAGCAACATGTCTACAAGGTCTTATCACAAAAGAAAATGATCACAGCGATTCCAAAAAAGACAACGAACGGGAATAATACCACAACATGTGAGTGCGTAAACGCTCAGGGATGAAAAAAAATGTAAACTCGGGCAAAAAAAAGCGAAGCCAGGGCTATGAAAAGTATAGACGCAGACATATTCAATTAAAATGGAGTAGGCATATTAAAATGGACTACCTTCATTTAGTATGGTGCAAAATCACGTCAAGCAGTTACACCACTTGCGCTTTTCTAGGCGTTCAATCATTCCCCTCTCATATCATTGACTATTTCCACCATTTTATCGTGACTGCCGGTGAGTACCTTTTTCAGTCATTTGCTGAATAACGGCGTTTCGGAACCGGTCGGGTCTCGGGGCGCAAGAATTCAGGCAATGCTTCCAGGAAATTACAGGGAAATGCATATAGAATTCAAGATTATAGGCCTTTTGAAATTGATAAGTGATTATTATGACAGGAATTGAAAGGAAAAAAAAAACAGTAAACAGGTGCATACTCTATGGCAGCCGCGTCACCAACATAAGCAGCTCGGTGCATCGGATAATTTCTGCTCCAGTCGTCTGAAGCCACAGATCCTCTCGAGGCAGTCCGGAGCGTTCGTGTGGGTGCACTAGCAATAAAGTAGCTATTCTCCTGAAAAAGCGCATAGCCACAACTGTGAAAAGCTTGCCTAGCGATCTTATGCCGCACGACCAAACCCTATTCTGATACTACTATTGCGACGCGAGCGCACTGCCTTGCACAAAATCTCAGTTTTGCCTAGGTGCCAATCTGCGGCTCCATGGAATAGCTCACCGGCGGCGCGGATGCGAGCGCGTGCAGGTGACGTCAATTTGACGTCACAGCAGCGGGGAGGGATTGGGCAAGACAGGCGCCATTACTTTATAACAATACGTATTAGACACTATCGATTCTGACTTCAGACTGTGCAGTGAGTAGGTAATCAACTTCGACCTTAATTGCGCACTCGTTGGGTTTTAAATGCGAAACCGTTAATTTCCTCAAATTTGCAAAAATATTCCTAATTTTCGACGGCGAAAATTGTACCTACACACAATACAACCTCTTTGCTCACGGTACTACTGACTGCATCAATTAGAATGCTAGTATCCCTTCTATCAGCCAAACGAAGTGACAGCAACACTCCTACCTCGCCCTCTCGTTGCCGTTTTGTCGCAGCTGTGACGTCACCTGCACGCGCTCGCGTCCGCGCCGCGGTGAGCTTATCTCTCCCCCCGCGCCCCCAAAGGACTTGGCGCTCGTGAAATCGGGTTTGTAATCAAAAACGTGCGAATTTTCTCAATAGATGGCTGTGGGGTTGGCCGCAGCAGCTGTGACAAACATTCATAAAGCTGCCAGGTGCCGTAGTTGGCGGACTAACATATATGGCGGCGGACTACGAATGAGGTTTCCGGACTGTCAACCGTGAGGCTAGGCAATTCAGCGTTTTGTGCTGTCTGGGAGCTCTCACACAAGCGCACTATTACAGAATCTCCGCTTTCTTTACCTCCTTTAAAAGGCTTAGTCCCACTACCACAAAGAACGTCTGCTTTTCCTTCTACACTCTCACCCCCTGGTTGACAGAAGCCTTGTAACCCGAAATTGCATGCGCTTGCGCTTTGCTGGGGATTCGGGAAATAAAGACCACTCTCAATTCACATGGTCAACCAACTATGTTATCTTATTCAAATCTAGAAAAAGCGTGGATATCTGTCACTAAGGGGGGAGGGAGGGGCGTTCGATGCGGCTGTTACCTGCCATGAATCCCAATAGCAAAGGCAGGAAGCTACGGGATGTGTGTGAAAGAGAGGGTGGAATGGTTAACACACCTAGTAGCGTCCGCCCCACAAAAAATTGGGATTATTTCAAGAGGAACGAACTGTATAAAGCAATGTCTCTCTCCCTTAGCGACACAGACACAAAAGTATAAACTACGTTACAATACCTCGTCATCCGTTAACGCCAAACCGCTGTCAAAAAGCGGATTCATCACGAACGTGTTGTACTTGTCGTAGGTGATCATCTCCACTCGACACAAATTCCCGTAACGGACTTTCTCATCGAGATCCACTGAAGACGGGGCGGGCGGCGGGGAGGGCGGGCTACGCACAGGGCTCCACAATTTGCGGATGTGGAAACCAGTACATATCACCAAGGATTTCTCTGCGGAAACAGTCAAGAGTTCACATCCGCGACCGCATGGCCAGTGCGCGCGGCAGTGCGGTCACGCGCAGCGACCTGGGAGATGTGAGCAGAAGCATATGCGATTAGCCGTTCGCGCGGGTGACTCAAATAGACGCATTAGGGTCCCCCCAAGAGGCCCGTCACGTGGCGAAGGAAGATACGCAGACGCCGCAAAGGACGAATCGCAGCGCATACTGCTAGAGGTTTATTCGTCTTTCCCCTGTGTCTTTATTTCGCCAATCCCAACTCACTGATGAGCTCCGGGGATTGGCGAAATAATAAGGTTCGTCTGAGGAAGGAGCGAAACGAACCGTATCAATTATTTTGTTTATAATGGTTTTTCTTTCTTAATTGGGGGACAGGAATTAGTATATATGTATGCTATACGAAGTTATTACGGTTGCAGCTCGTCCTCTGCCGCATCTGCGTCTCATCCTTCGCCGTGCGACGGGCCTCTTGGGGGGACACCCGACGCATTTACGTTGATTTTTATAATGACCCATACCTCGCATTTCAAAATAGTAATCTTCATTAAAGGCAGATGATACAAGAAATTCAATGACCTGTCGTAAATGAAAGTAGAAGTGCAAAGAAAGGGAAACGGTACAGATCTCCAAAATTGAAGAAATCGTCTTCGAAAAACCATGCCTCCATCCTCACCAGAGATTGATACCTTACCACTAGCCTCTCGCGTCACGAAAATAGCAAAAATTAGGAGAAAAATAAAGATTGGTTTTGATATCAATCCATACAACCAGTGAGGCCAGAATGAACTTGAATCCTCCACAAAAAAACTTCCAACTGTTGGCCGTTGAGGGAGACAACCGTACAAAAGTGCTAAAGCGTAAAGGCTGACGATGTCCATGTTAAACCACTTAGCCTCAGTCAATTTGCACATGGCCGCGCCTTGCGCAGTGCCACTCGAGCACAAATGCGCTTCCGGCCCGTTCCACTGTGGCAGATCCGTCCAGCGGTTACCCCCAGGAGGCCCGTCGCGCGGCAAGAAGGCAGAGTCGGCGGACGAGTTGCAGCGCGTGGTGTGCGATGTAGGACGTGCAGTGGGACACTCTTTTAACTTGACGCGAAATCCCTATAGTACGCGCGCGACTCGTCCGCTGACTTTGCCTTTTTTGCCGCGCGACGGGCTTTCTGGGGGATATCCCTCGTCCAGCACATGGGAAGAAACAGCTTTCCGTGGATATCCCGATAAAGCTCGTTTTCCTATAGAATCCCGTGCTGGACGAGTCTCAACGATATGAGCGTCATCAACGTGAATGTGAGCTCCGCCTTTTTGCCGAAAAGCGTAGAGTCCAACGGTGAAGGACCAAGAGCGGAGGTGGCCGATCGAAAGCCGAGCTGAGGCACAAAGGCATTGAAAAGGAAGGACGAACTACAGATGATTTGATGAACTGAACTTTTTACCACGAGAGCGCTTCTACACGAAAAGTGACATTCTCGTCCTTCACTTTATTCACCTTTTTTCTTTTTTTTTTTTTTTGTTTACCTTAACAATAGGTAGATTCCAGTAGGTTTTCCTCTTTTTTTCGACACCCAATTTATCGTACCACCTGTCTTCAAGCACACCCGAATTCCATCAGATCTGTGCCACTAGGTGCTCACCCCAGGATTGCGAGTGATGCTCTTCTTGCACCATGAATACCTATTCAGCTCAACTGCACGCTCCTCTCCCATCCTTATCAACCGCCAGTTTTGGCTAATGTTTAAAGGTGCCTCATCGTTTCATACCTACGAATGATCCTGTGAAATTGCCTGGAACCTCAACCCCATCCGGGTGTCCCCCAATACGACATTCACATCTTTCGCTTACTCTAATCAACCACAGGAATTCTGTTCAGCACCTAAGTCTCTTGAGCATGAACTCTGAGCTCTTTATGGAGGTAATAAACTAAACAACAACCTCAAACAGCCTTCGATTTCGTGTCCCACGTAGGCTGGATTGTGAGCACAACGAATCACCCTATTCCGAGCAGCCGGTCGTAGAAATAACGATGAGAGAAAGTGTTGATTGTGGCGTTGTGAATGTCCAAGCCACCTGAAGTGAGCATGAGCCATAAACGAACAGAACTTGAGCAAATCGTTGCATAGTTTTGGACGGCATTTTGGCTTTCGACAAAGTTTTTTGACCATGAATAGGAATGAGAAAGAGGAAATCTTCTGGAGACCTGTTTTCACAAGTGCGCAGATGGCGAGTGGAAGAACTTCGTCCGTGGATAGCTAGGCAGGGTGAAAATCGGTCGAGGATTCGTCGACGATTCGCTGAGGAAATTCGCCCGTTCAATCACACTCTCCTGCGTGGTCGTTTACTCTTGCCATGCGCGAGCAGTCTGTGCTCTCCGTGCGTACATTCACTCCTTACAGTACATATTCTCACACAGCACAGAGCCATGGTCGAAGAAATCCTCGACAGTTATTCGCCCTGTAGTGGGCCCCATTCGTGACTCAAGGATGACGATGCCAAGGCTTACTATTGTAGGCACCTATTGTCTGGCTGGCTTCGCTGCAGTGGTGTCTGCGTCTCATTTATCTGCTATACTCTCTCGGCTTTTGCTCGCCGCAGTAGCCTTTCTTTATCGCCACTGTCTGATTGTGTGTAACATAGACTTACTCACAGTCGAAAAACGCCCTTATTCACTATTCTGGGCGGGTCTTTTTTGCCTACTCCTTACAAGCGACGGAATTCGGGTCATCTATGCTATTTTTCAAGAGCAATAAACCGCATCAAATTGATCATAGAATGTTCCTCACACCATCTCCTACCGTCACTCCTGCTGTCCTTGCACATATTTCTAGCTATTTCATGACCCTATCTTTGTTTCTTTATCATAAGGGCTTTTCGGTTCGTCAGTTTTTCCATACATGAATCACTGTTCGTCGTTCGCATTCATTTCAAGCGTGGGCGCCGAGTATGTCACGGCGATGTACCTAACTTTTTTGCACGTCTCTGCACGTGTCTGTTACCTGCAGCGTCTACTGGGTAAAAGAAAGGCAAGGAATGTTCTGTTAACGGCGCATGCCTGACAAAAACAGTAGCAGAAGTGGCGGTTCCAAGGGTGGAGGGGACTGGTAGGCGTTTCTTCTGTGAGCATCTCGAAATGTAGGCAGCCTGCTAAAAGAATAGATGCGTGTTCCGAATTGGCGCCCACCAACCCCTTACTGGTTGTTTCTTAGGAATTATCTGAATCTTCGCTTATCCTGATCGATAAACACGCTTGGTTCTTTCCGCAGTTTCCAGCAAACCCCTATTCTCCGAGGTCACATACCATTAGTAATACCTAAGCACAATTACGGCCTTTGTCGTTGAATTTAAATTGATAGAGCAATGCAAAGCCTAAGGATCATTGGCTCTGTTGTACTAAGAAAATCGGGAATAGGAAGAGACGAGTTTTTTTCTGCAATGGACACTAGCCACTCACTCTTCAATCCTGAGTATCATATGTCTAGTTTGAAGATCAAGACTTTCAGGCGTTTGCATGCACATGTTCACGAGGCGCGCAAGATTCTCAAGTCGTCCATTCGGATAGGATAGGCGATCTGAAACGCGAGGTTATGAAATTACTTGTACGAGATAACCCTTCAGATGGACAGAGCTCCTCACAGTTATAACACTGGGTACAAGAATTCGACTGGCGTTTTATAGTTTCATTTAGTAGCTCTAAGTTGAAATAGAATGCAAGCGCTTCAAGGGTTTACGAGCTTGCCAAGAAATAGCAACGAAACTGCGCACGGCACCGCGCCCACTCTCTTGCTCTGTGCTAAATACATTCATGCTTGGCATGTTCATATAAAAAATTTATAACTCCAAAAACTGGCGCTTTTTTCTGAAAGGGACGGCGGTCACAATGTGCGAATTGACGATTGCCTGGATAAAGCACACTTTACAGTTTTTCCAAGCATAGGGCCGGCGAACCCACTCATTCGTCCACATTATCGTTCAGCTCTAACAGTGCAGTTCTTACCAACGGCTAGGAGTGTCAGTATCGCCTGCAGCTTCACCAACTCGAAAGTTATCTCCCAAGTTACATTGCTGGATCGGCGTTGGAATCCTTGGTTCTACGCGTCTGAGCCAGTGGCGCTCGCGGGTGTGGTTTACTTGAGGAACCCACTCCTTGCTACCACCAACAAAGTAGTCGGGTCAAACAAGAGACAGACGGTAAATCAAAATGTTCATGCAAAATCTGAAGGCTTCTGAAGGCGGTTGTCACCCAGATCACGAAATCTCCTTTTGCCATAATTTCTCTTCTTTTTGAGGAGCTATTGAGGAATGGCTATTGTGTTCTGATAACTGTGGAAAAGCTGTGTCAGTTACCGTGCATTGCACCAGAGACTGTTTCCAAACAGCTCCAGAAGACACTCGTCATTCAGTGTAACAGGCGACCAAATTTGTGATTTCTCGAGTTTCTGGGCATTGGCAGACAAGTTTACCATGTCCTTAAAGACACTAGAGTTCCATCGCAAGGCATAACCTTCTTGCCGCATTGTTTTTTACCACGGCAGAAATGCTCTGACGAGGTCATTGACTAGGGTTTACGTAAGTTTTACAATGAATATTGACAAATAATTCCTGAAAATTTTACAACATAAAGATGGAAGTAGCCAAAGACTTTTCCGATAGCCTAATATATTTTGTCGGGCACACTGACCC